TATATTCGTACTTTTATTGTTTAGATATAGCGCTTTAACATTTAAATAGAACTATCTTTTTTTTTTTAATAATAAATCTTATCATTATATGTATACATAGAAATATAACGAATTTGCAACAAGACGACATCTGTATGATTTAAAAAAAAATACCATAATCGTCATGATCAGAGTTATTTAACTTAAAACAATATTTGTTTAGAATTTCGTCTGTTTATTTATATATATGTTTGATACTCTATCTAGATCCTGCTTTTGAAATCACAGGCAATATTTAAATATTCTGTACCATCCTTTTTACCACTTTTCTAACAAAATAAAGTTATTTGTATTTTTACGTAAAGCTAATTATAAATACAATTTCTTACCTCAAAGTAACTGAATGTTAATAATACGTTAATAGGTATTTACTAGTATAAAATGGTAGTGTCTAATAACAACTGTTAGGGAGACGAAAGGATTCGAAAATATTTCTATCACGTGTCGCTTATCGCGTGGGCTATGACAAATTGCAAATCTCGTTGTACAAATATGGGGTGTTACAAATAGATATTACCCGTCTTTTTAAATACTATGCACACGTGCGGAGGGAAATAGATGTCCGGGTGAGGACAAGGAGTTTGCAAGGACTTGGCTTGGTTGGGCGCGTGGACGACTACCGTACATTGCTCGCGAGCCACTCTCACATTCACCACGCAACGACAATGTCAGCCAAATAGAATTTAATATTCATAGAGCCGACGTACGATTCAGTGAATTCATCCGCACCTTAGACCCGGGCTTCGCATATAAAAGACCTTCCTTGAGCCCCTGGGTGTGCTTCAAATAATTCGTCTCGGAATGGCTGCACTTCAAATGTGAGGGATGGAATGGAGAAAAAGTCTCGTTGTTTTATAGATATGAGAAAATTGAAAAATGCTATCGACGCCCGTCGGGACGGCCGCCCCGGCAAAGGTCGGTTTTCGAAATAATCCCTCGCCAATATCGGCCACATATAAGGAAGGTATTGAAGTTATATTGAAAAAACATTGAACATGCAGGGCGGATATTTATTAAAAGCGATGCTATGTATTACATGGAAACAAATTACAACCTTTTACCACAGAAAATGTTCGTATATACGTAGCTATTACTGATAGGAATATTTTTAGTATTTAACTTATGAAGATAACATAACAACAAGCTTTTTATTGTGTATAATATAAATATATAAGACATGTTGAATTTTTTCTCGATTAAAATTTCAGCCTAAAAATAATTAGTATAAATGAATAATTCGTTATTTCATGTAAATTGTTTATAATTAGCTGATTTGTTACTAAATATTTTGCAGCTATTATTGATTATTTACATAGAATCTTCAGTACTAATAATTTAATTTTCTTTAGAAAAATATGTAAACTCTTTAGAAATTAGCAAAGAGATATTTAGATTAAAATATTAGTGATTATATTCTGCCTAAGAAAGGATTCAAGATTCTCCGGAACCAGAATGTATACAAGTGACGAAGTGTGTGGGAACAATAGTATTTGGCACCAAGTTTTCGCTGTCAACCTCATAAGGTCCTTGATCTGAAGATGTATGTCATTAGAGCAACATACTCAAAGTAAACCTTATTATCTAATAATAAAAACTTCTAATTTTGATAATACTTAATAAAGATTTCGATTACGATAAATACAAGAAATGGATTTTTAAAAATTAGCTGCTGACTAATGGCTGATGGATTTAAATGTTTTGCTAAACTTCTGTGTTGTACCTATTTACAATAGTTTAGTTGTTAAGCAATCTGTTACGCTTGATATAGATATTTTCATAATCATAATTTCAGTTAAAACAATCTTATTATTCTAAAATAGTAAGATAAATTTGTTAGTTTTGCTAGGAGAAGGATTTGTTATGATTTCGACGTAAAATTGTCAGATCAAAACAGTTCTAAAACAATATGTTATTCTCCGTTACCTACACTTTGATTCTCCTGAAAATAATGTAATGATATATTTGTACAATAACTATATGTTTTCCTTTTATCTCCTTTTTCTACTGTACTTACTTGATAATATGGACTGTATAAAGTTAGTCGATTGGAATAATTTTATTTCATTCTGCTATTATTAGTATACATACGACTGTCAACATTCGAAGATTGACTATCTATTAATAATAATAACTAGTGGTACCTATGGACTACCGCAAAATTACACTATATTCAATAAAATATTTAAAAAAAAATTTCAAATGGCACCTGAAACTTTTGGAAACTTAATCAAAAATATTTCATTCTTTCAATTTTCGTTTTAACTTTTTAGTTACAAAATTGCTAAGTATTGGTACTTATACAGTTACCCCCTTCAAAAACGTCAAACCTCTTATAACCTCTTTCAAATTAGGAATTTAGTAAAAAAAACACTTCAATAGCTCAAGTAGGTTTATATGCTGTTTGACGGATTTATGAATAAGAGGGCTAGGTTTTAATACCGAGAAACTTAAAAAATGGGGTAGCTGTACTAATAATATTAGGTAAGTTTATCTATAAGTAATCTCTCAATGGGAATAAATCAATAATAATTTGTCTATTTTATAATTCATACGTTATCAAATGGGGAACAATAAAGATTTAACACAATAATTTATTAAGTAAACTGTCATTACACTGAATTGAACTGATTTAAAATGAGTATAATAAGTATGCAGTAATTCAATAAATAAAAACAAATAGGTAACTTGAGGGTTTCTGATCTATACTTATCTTTACATTTTTATATCTGTCTCTGTGGTGAGTCAATTAAAAGGTTGCCAGAGGCAATATGTATTTAGTATCGGAGCCGTAATTCGAAGGTCTGTATATTAATGATAAAATGAATTAAGTCATGACAATATTCAACTGCATGACAAATCACGTAAAGACCTTTTAAAGTAATATCGATAAAGAATCAGCAATTTATAAAAAAATATATATATATAGGATATGTCAAACCTATTGGCATGATTCGAATTTAAAAGATTGCGCATGTTTATCTGCTACTGCGCGTGATGGATACCATATGAAATAACGGATGTTAGAAAATGCTAGCATGTAGGTCGACGACGTCTAGAGTGGTGTAATAAAATTAAAAATACTCTTTACCGCAATCAAACTAAAACTTTTTTTATTAAACTAGAATTGCAAATGAGCTGGCGGAGTCTAATTGATAACCGTCGTTTATTCATATGAACAGCTCCATGGACACCACATGACGTGATGACGCTCATGATAATGCTTTGTCTTATCTGAAGACAACTGTTATGGAAAATGGAACGGTAACCCCTCCTGCGCTATCCGTATACACTGGCGAGGCACCATTGAGAGATGATAGGCGAGGATGACAACAAGTCAGTTAGCTCATTGTGACAAAATTTTTTATTTCTTTTTTAAAGTGCCACACAAATTAACTACGTGGCTAATACATGTTTATGATGGATACGTTCAAATAATTCCACAAGAAGTAACCGAGGTGGTTTCCAGGGGAACTGAGTGGAGATATGGCTGACAATTGAGCTGTTGAACCCTATTACTCACAATCCCTTACCCCTGCGTAACTTGTAATTTCACTACCATACGCCAGCTTTAGAACTGAAACAATGCCATACAAGTACAACATTTCGCGGCAGAAAATGTCACATGTAGTATAGACTTAGTTACAGCTTTCAGCCGTTAAAGAATCATTTTTTAAAAACATAACAGAATAATATACTTAACAAATTTAAATCATAAGTATTAATCTAATCTTGCCGTAAGAGGCAACTAAGGAAACAAAACACTATACACCAGTTTAAGAAAAGGATACCTCGAAATATTGAAATTAATTTTAATTTATTAATAACACAATAAAAAAAACATGATATTGGGTTTTTAAACCATTATAAACAAAAAACAAATATTTCCTCTTTATAATATCAGTTTAGATTATCTACTATATATCGGTATAAGGACGGCAATCATTAGCCGAATATAATAATGTAACAGTGAACGAAAGTTGTGTGTTGTATATTGTTTTAAAACTAAAAGAAAAAGCTAATCGGCGGAAGGAATCTTTTTCCTTTGAAGATTTGCCGATAAAAATATATAAAGATCCAAGTATGAGCAAAAAATAGTATTAAATCGAAATACTTTCTTGGGGTTTTTACCTATTATAAATAATATATTATTGTATATAATTATAATATGAATAGATTAAACGAATATTTTAGAATTTAAAGTCTTAAATATCTCTTATATAGTACACTACCCTACAATTGTAATTTTTTATGGTTCCAATGAATACATTTTTAATTTTAATTTTTAATAGTAGAGAAATCGTCAAAATACTTTCGTAAGATACGTAAGTACGATATCTAATATATATATGTACGATGTACCCTACGCTTAAGTATCTATTCTATATTATAATTACAAACCTAATAAGGCGTGGTATTTCGAACGCACAGATCCAAGGATCTCAGAGTTCCCGGCATTTATTACTTTAGAATTTGATTATTTCAGGCCTGTGAAAACGTTTTATTTTTTTATTTAATAATTAAGCCTATAATACACTTTTAGATTCAATGAGTTTATAAGATATTTTTTAAATAGTCTATTCTGTTCGTTATTTCAGTGAATACCAGTTTTAATTAGAAAAACTTTATATATATATAAAATAAAATTTAAAAGTATCTATTTATCATCATCATCTTCTTTTTCTTTTAAGTGAGTCTAACTTTAGAGGAACACGATTTTTATTAAATATTTTCCATGCACAGATATTGTTTAGTAGTAACTTTATTATATATATATATATATATATATATATATATATATATATATATATATATATATATATATATATATATATATATATATATATATATATATATATATATATATATATATATATATACATATATATACGACTAGTTGAGTTGCTATATACACCATACCATTTTATTTAAGTATTAGTTAAGTGTTAACTAAAAATACTTGCCTGTAACTCATGGAGAAGCTCCCTCTCGTCCAGCAATACAACGCGGCACGCCAGCGTGCGCGGCGCAGGGCACAAGCACTCCATCATCTTGCCTCTGCTGGAGGCACCTCTTGGGCGCCTTCTGAAATAAGTTCCATATTCAATTTCTATTTTTGACTATAAAGCTCTCAACATATCTTATGTATGTCCTTCTCCAAATAAACATTCTATATAAATAATAATATATCCCTACTAGTTTTAGGATATGTTTGGAAAACTGTGTTTCAGTTTGAAAGAGTGAGGATATGGCAGTGAAAGTACAGAGAACAGAGTTATAAAGTCATAGTCTTAATAGCAACACATGAGGGGTACGATGCGCATCACAATGTATTCTCTTTGTCCATGATTCATATTTAAAGTTTTACCGTTATAACATTAGTAAAGATAATAAATACCATAAAGCCAGTCGTGACAAAATTATCGCGTGACGGTGCAGAAAATACGAGTCAGTTTTTGTGAAAATACAATTTAATCCTAAAGTAAAATTGCCAAGTTACAAAGGCTACGATGAATTATGGTTAAACATTCTCAACTTCCAATATTGACTTCGATTTTACCAAAATTGGTAGGTACGTTTTCTTAGAAAGACATGCAGTAAATATTTCAATCTTATAACACCCTTCTTGGGGTGTTGGGCGTTAATTAAACGGATCAATAAATACCTAAAACTTTATGGATTTTCGTTCCATTTCTGATATGATTTCTGTACTTCGTCATGATCATTAAATAATCACATTAAAAAATTATAAAATAGTATTAATTCGAAAAAAGTTAACAATAATTACGAAAACTTTTGCGTCATAAATTCAAAAGTTTTTCTTTCTCGTCATCATCCTTCCAATAAAAAAATATGTGATCAGATTAAAACTATGCCACAAAAAAAAATTTATAGTAATAAACATAACATATGAAAGTATATTTTATCTATTCCGAATAAGATAATGACAACCTTTTTCCTTATTCTTGATTTCTTAATATTTCTTTTTTTTTTAATTCCTCTGAAATACTGAAATAATATTCGTTCACATACGTTCTTTTTAACTACTTAAACTAAATAAAATACCTAGATGATTAATGATAATAAATACGCAAAATCTTAGTAACAGAAATTTTGTCTATCTGTGTGTATGTTTATTCTAACATTACGTAAATGTTACTAAAAACCAAATTGGACGCGGATTTATATTTCTGAAAGCCTAACTTAAAAACTGATGTATGTTTTGTCTTGGTCTTTCGATGGTTTTCCTAGTTTCGATATTCATGCATAGTGTGTAAAAAAATATTATATAATAATTACAAACGGTCCAAAAATAGTTCTTTATGAAACTCCTACTTTATTGTGAATATAATTTGATCTACAAGTAAAAATTCCACACTTTGCCTCGCCATGCCCAATTCTGATGACATTTGAATCCAAAGTGATTGAGTGGGTCTCAGATGCAGTGATTACTTGCTCAATGTTCAGTGGCTCAGAAGTTTGAGAAACAGTATCGAATTCGGGCGAATCAGCTATGGAAATTAATGTAAACTGTAAGCAATAGATAATATATATCATTTACATGTATGTCACATATAAGTTTACTTTCGCTAAACACACATACAAATACATATAAATACATACATATTTCACTTTGTAAATACTTATCGATTTATCATTTATTAAACATTCAATCCCACAAAAAAACCGACTTCAATTGTGACAATACCATTATTTTGACCCAACTACTTCTTTCTTTCAGATAAAAAAAGAGTTTTCCGAATCGGTTCAGGACTGACGGAGTCAAGGTAACAAAGATAAAAAAAACAACTTTAAAGTTGGTTAAAAATAAATTTGGATTTGACAAAACCAATTATTTTGATCTAAAAACTAATTTACCATACCAATTTTGATAAAATTTCTATGGGACTAATCTTCAGATAAAAAAAGAATTTTCTAAATCGATTTAGAACTGACGCAGTTATGACGTAACATATATAAAAAAGAACAACCGAATTGAGAACCCCTTTCTATTTGGAGTCAGTTGAAAATAAGTTTTGTCTACCATGAATTCAGGTGCTCTAACATAAAGGCATAGACCACCTCCGGTATTCTGCACACAAAACCAGAAGTTGTTTGAAGTCAATTACAGAGTTATTTGCAGCCAGACTCAATAGTAAAATCACCAAAGGGTTGGTCGAAACCAAATATATCCTCGTTAAAAGTTAGTCTGGGAAGTGAGCGCGTCCGTGAGTCGGTTTTAACAATTTTATTTTAATTAGTAGCAGCGCCCTCTACGTAAATTTGATTCGATGAAGTTTTTTGCTGCCGGAAACAATTTCCACCATACGGACCTGTTGACAAACTTGTTTCTTTAAAGCTACTGCTTTTAACCAGTTTTAGAAAAGAATTAGCTTTTTATTCCTATTATGTGTTTTTTATGCTAAGTGTCTATATACTCAAAAGAGGAAGAAGGGAAGGAAGAAGAATTGTCAGGTCGACCTCCACGCAAAACGGCGTGATTTATTTTTGATGTATTCATTACGATGAGCCACTGGTGCAGTGGCACCAGTATTGGTATAACAGTGGTTATACCAATCGTGCAGGCAGGGTTACTATTCCAATATTATCTATTAAAACAATTCCATTGACTATTGTGAACTGATCTTAAGTTATTTTACTAAACTAAGTGTTATCTTAAATTGTTACTTTTTAAATTAACAGATTCTCTATTAATATGTTAATATTGAAGTTGTTTTTTTTTAAATATATATGACATGAAGGAGAATGGAAAGGATAAGCTGGATAGAAAAAGTAACGAATGAGGAAGTCCTGAAAAGAGTGAACGAGAAAAGAACATTAATTAAAATAATAGAGAATAGAAGAGGCAAAATGCTGGGCCACCTTATATGACATGACGATTTTTTAAGAGCATTGTAGAAGGAAAAATAGAGGGCAAAAGAGGAAGAGGAAGACCGAGGAATAACTACATGGGACAGATAAAAGAAACACTAGGTGTCATGTCGTATAGGGAGATCAAGGATCTGGCCTGGGATAGAGCTGGCTGGAAGAAGATGCATGAATTAGTTGCACCGACAAGAGGAAGCTCTTAAATGAAAAAGAATAAATAAAAAATAACTTGTATATTTTATGTATATGTCGTATACATATAAAATATAACAATTATGTATTGCCAAAAAAGTTATACTTGAAAATTAATATTTATAATAACATTAATAGTATTTAATTTTCTTCGAATGAACTTCAAGGGGTACCGTTTTTTCTTGTCTACTAAAGTGTTTAAAAATATTGAAAAATTAATCCCTATTGTATATTATTATTATTTGATTAGTATTATTTTATTTTTGTTATTGTAGTATAATGGAGCAGTATAAAATTGTGATTGACAAATTCGAAGGAAGTGTCTGGGGGAATGACAGATTAATACTTACTAAGACCACTGCTGCGCTAAGTGCGGATTGAACCACTTTCAAAATTTCTAAACATTTATCTTAGTTTCATTATATTTCAATTACGTCGAAATACCAGTTTTCAGTAAATTGCGTATACTGTTTACTCGTGTACAATGGTGATCCCTAAAGGATATTCTCATTTCCTCTACCAACTCGAATGTACTAAATAGTAATTTGCTCGACATAAAACTTCAAAAATTACTTTTCCCTCTCATTGTTCTCTGCCGAAGTTTCCTCGTGGCGTCCATTTTCGACTTGAAAAAGAGTACTTAGAAACAATGACTGTGTTTGTTTGCCAATACAAAATTATTTGTGTAGGTAAATGTTAAAAGTTGGAAAATATTTAAATGCAGTAGAATAAGTATTTTTAATAACATTACCATATTATAAATATACAGTAAACACCTTTATTATTAATAAAAGAAAATTTATCTTGTAAAAATAATATTTAGTATTAATAGTTTCTATTACCTATGTAAAGACACTAACAACACCTGCAGATTAGATTACGACTTTTAAAGGTAATTCAATTTGATTTTTATTTCTTTTTGATATTCGAAGGGGTTATCTCCTTAAAGGTTTCATATAAACTATGTCATGAATAAAGTCGTTATTTTTTTAGAACAAATTTTTTATTTATCACAATGTCTTATTTGTGGGTACTGTACAAAAATGTAGCAAGTAGCAATATATTTCAAATAGTGTAACATCCAAGTTATAACAGTATTTTCATTTCTACCATTAGATCTACTAGTTTAAATTAAATCAGATATATCAAGTGAACTATCTACGTTAGTATCTCCGTAACATCCGACAAGGAAGTTTCGAGCAACCGAACAAACTAAAAACTTTGAGGAAACAACAACAGACACGGCAATACGAGCCATTAATCCAAACGATCCCGACAGAGATTAGTGCTCCCGCTATTGACCCCACACCCCACCTCATATAGAAAACATTTTCCCGCTATTGTCTGAGCAGAAAGCAAAAAGAAGATACGCGATTGACAACGTAGCTCTGCGACGTGGCGAGGCAGTGAACGATATTACGAGTGTTGCCAGATAAGGTAACTTTTTCGCAATTTTGAGTAAAAATTTTTGTAGTTACAAAATTTTGGAGAATTGATATCGTTGGAAAAATTTCAGAAAAGTAATTAAATAGACGTGAAGGAATTTGAATATTTTATACAGTTTGAGTATTTATATGTATGTATAGCAATATATAAATAAATTTAATACAATATACCGATATATCAATAAAGTCCGTAATATTAAGATACGAAGGAAAAGAAGAAGAAAGAAAGAAGGAAGGAGAAGAAGTCAGAGAAGAGCGTTTTTTTGGCCTTTGCGAAGTAGTTTCATAGTAAACTGGACACCGTCACAAGTTTTCGATTGACTAAAAATGAACGAATTTGGAGTAAAAAAGTTTACATTTAGGTAAGAATAAAAAATTTTATGTGGCAACTCTGGGCATTGCGGCGCGAGGGACTAGAGGCGCTGTTGCCTTCAAATCGCGTACCTAGCAATTTTTCCTTTTGTTTGTTCGAGATGCACGCGAGATATCTGTACTATTAGAAAGAGAACTGCACCAATATTCTCGCCCGGTCCCCACGCCCACGGTAACTTTGTT